TTACCTTCTGCATGGGTAGCCTAAAATGAGTTCCTTCACCTCTCTGAAAATACGATTCGATTCCTCATTTGAACAGAGTTCAAATGTCTAAAAATTTAAGAGCTAATATCCACATAACAGCAGACCCTTCTTAATTTAGAGTCCCACCTACATTCACAAACTAGTCAAAACTGCAAAGTGCCCTGACCTTCCACATCTGCTTCCCACTGAGCATCCTGGAGATGCCTTACAGATGTGGCTAAGCACAGCCAGAAGACAATGCCAATGCCAAGCATGGTGATCAGCCCCATGATGACTCAAAGTTCAGGGGTAATTTGTTATGCAGCAATAGACCACAAATACAGATTTCCTTACAGGGTGAGGTTCTTCATACCACAACACTGATGTGTTGGAATGGCTTTGGCACTGGACAGCAGGCAGAGGTTGAGGGACTTTGAGGAGAATGTTAGTGGAAGCCCAGAGTCTTCAAGAAACTGTTAGTGGAACCCTGATGGTCTTTGAGAAGGTTACAGGGGGAAGGATTTAATGGGAAATGGGAAAAATGTTATTGAAAACTGGAGGAAAGAGGTGATTGTTATGTAGAGGCAGAAGCTTAGTAACACTGTTAACTGCAGTCATGTGGAAAGAAGAACATGTGTGGTACTAAGAACATTTCCTGGTAGAATGGGGTTTCGTTATTTGTTTTTGCAGTGCTATGAATGGAGCCCAGGGTCTCCTGTATGATAGGCAATAGTTCAACCATTGAGCTACATCCCCAGTCCTCCTGCAGAGTCTTGAAAATTCTGGCAATATCTTCTAGCTAGATATACCAAAATGTGAAAAGAAAGGGATTATCTAAAGAAGGATTTAGAAAAGGAAAGAAAGAAAGAGAATCTAGAAATAGCTAGGTTCTAAAATTCCCAGCTTTTCCATATGGCAAATGATGCTAAAACAAAGAAACTGTTTCCAGTCACAGATTAACTCCAGAATGCTACCAGAAAAACATCACCAAATGATGAAGTGAGAGTATGGCTGTAAACCCCTTTGTTTAAACCTTAAAAAGGTCTAAAGAATTGATTTAGGGGAGCATGCAAACATAGGGTTTCAAAGATGGCTTAGGGTATTGTACCTTAGCAGTTTCAACAGAGGGACTCCCCCATTAGAGGAAAAACTTATCTTGAAGAAGTTTTTGCAGTGCTATGAATGGAGCCCAGGGTCTGTAGATTGAAGAGATTTGTGGATATCAGTTTTGTCCAATAGAGTGAAATCCATTAGATTTACAGGAGACTTAAAGAACATTAAAGGTATTACATTGGCAACAACACTGCTAACATGGATACACAGAGTACAAAATCAAAGTGACCTTTGGGCTCCCTAAATTCTACTGGAAGGAAGCAAACCGACAGAACTATACAGCTGCAAACATGTGCTACTTTTAATATAAAAGGATGACTCAGAGAATGGACCAAAGAATCCAAAGGGTGAAGTCAAGAATCATAGAAAGTTGTTCCCATGCAAGAGTAGACCTGAACTATATCAAGGAAATTCATCAGATACCAAACTGGATTTAAGGATGCTATGGCTGAGGAACTCTTCAGATACTCCTATCTTTCCTCTTTTTTGAATAAGAATGTTTTTCCCAATCATCTGAAGCCTGCCCCATCATTGTTTTGGGATTATAAATGAGTTATAAATATGAAGAGGAACTACACTTGAGGAGTTGAACTTCTATACAGGAGACTTATTTGTACTCAAACCCAATTAAGGTGACAAGATTCTGGATTGACAATATAACGGGTTAAGATTTTTTGGGTTTTGGGGAAGTGAAAGTAATTGCATTAAGAGATACACGAATCGTTGGAGATCAAAGGGCAGACTGTGATATCTAGCCGCAAAGGTGGCTCCAAAGATTCTGTACCTCTTGGTATTTGTGCCTTTGTGTAATTTCTTCCCACACTGGATAGAGCTGATCTTGGCAATCAATAAGCTGTGTTGGAAATGATGGTGTGTAATTTCGGAGTTTAGGTCATACAGGACATAGCATCTTCCATTTTGTCCTCTCTTGCATCCAGGGCTTTGGGAGAATTCGTTATGTCACTAGGACAATCAACAGTACTGTAGGAGGTGGTGAAGCCCCCTGCCTACAGCACATGTATGAACCATGCTGGAAGCATATCCTATATTTATAGGTTAGCCTTCAGGAAACTATGGCCCAGTCAACAGCTTTACTAAAATCTCTTGAGAGATCTAAGCCAGAGTGTTATGGTTTGGACGTGAAATGTCCCACAAACGCTCACATACATGTTAAGAAAATGTAAGAAGGTTCAGAAGAGAAATCAGTGAATTAACCCCTTGATAGGGATTAATTGAGTAGTAACTGAAGTGTAGGGTCTGGCTGGAGGAGGTGGGAATTGGGGGCAAGGATTTCAGGTATGTATTTGTATCTGGCAAGTAGAGACCTCTCTGCTTTCTGATCACCATATGAACTGCTTCCTTCTGCCACACTCTTCCTCCATGATGTTCAGCCTCACCTCGAGCCAGGAGGAAAGAATCCAGCTTTCTATGGACTAAAACCTCTGAAATTGTGAGCCCTCAAATAAACTTTTCCTCCTCTACAGTTGTTCTGGCCAGTTCCTTTAGTCACAGTGGTGAAAAAGCTGACTAAAACACAGAGATACCCAGTTGAACTACTCCCAGATTTCTGGACCACAGAAACTGTGTGAGATAATATTTTGATTTAAACTGCTACATTCTGAGAAAATTTTCTATGCAAGGGGTCTATCTCTGGATGTTTCCAAAGCTTCCAAATCTAGAGGGAATTGAATGGTTCTGATTTCCATGTAGAGGGTACAGAAGATCCACCTCATTGACACTGGCACATTATGAAACCAGAACTTTATGAAAACCCTTTCTAATAATTTTGTCAGCTTCTGCCTCACAAACCCTGTCTTCACAAGGCTCAAAGATTGTAAAGTGTCAGATACTGAACTGCACAGTATTACATTTTAACTCTGTCAGGTTATGATTAAGAAGAAATAATAATAATGATAACAACAAGCCTCTCCCTCCTCTCACCAAAGATCCTAAATACACAAATGTCCTTTAAAGACATTGAAAAAATAGTTTCAGCCAAGTGAGGTGGCACATACTCATATTTCCAGAGTCCTAGCCTTTGGGAGGCTGAAGTAAGAGGATTACTTGAGCCCAGGAGTTCAAGGCTAGCCTAACAAAATAATGAGACCCTGTCTCAAAAACCAAAAACAAACAAACAAAAAAAACAACATTTTTTTTTTCAATGGAAAAAGATTCCTAAATGCAATAACATGTTTTTAAAGGCTAAATTGCTTCCTGTTTCGCCAGGGAAGGAGGTGGAAATAACCAAGTAAGAAACACTATTCACTAAATATACTAATGTTGGTGTTTGAGTTGGCATTGATTGCATTTTGTTTTCAGAATGGTGCATCAATCCTTGTTTCCAATGCAGACACAGAAATAATTTTCAGAGAAATGAACTGAAGGAAAAAAGAACTATATGAAATTGGAACAAAACAAACCTAATGCTCTTCAGAATTCTTTAGAATTGTTCTGAGGTTTAAAACAAAGTTTCTAAAAAATAAACATCTAACAAAATTGCTCAAAGATTAACCATACATTATCCATGGAGACACTCCTTGTACCCTAGTATTTTTATGAAGATCATCTGGAAATTCTAGCTTAAAATTATCTAAGGAAATCAATGGAAAACGGACACCTTTCCAACCCCTTTCATTGTCATCAACCATATTCCCTCCCCTATGTAAAAAGGCCCTTTTCCTCTCCTCTCTCAATACAAAAAAAAAAAAAAAAAAAGCTTTAAAAGCTTTTCTGTGAATGAAAAGACATCAATGTGGTCTAAATACAAGCAGCCAGACAAAAATACCCTATATATTTAAAATACATTTCAAAACCTCCTCTAAAGGGCCATTTCCAGCACTAACTATAATTTGTGCAAAAGTAATATTTAAAGCTTAAAAACATTCAACAGTGCAGGCATCTTTACAATAACCCATGAGATAGGTGTTCCTATTGTTTGACTTTACAAAGTTTATTTATTTATTTTTAAAGATGGAAAACAAAATGATGAATTAACTTGAGTGTGACCACAATGCTGATTCAGTAGTGGTCCTAGGATTTGGGAGCCCTGGGCAATAAGTCTTCTAACACCAGTCTTTTAAAGAGTCATGCAAAGATTTGGCACTTTAATCCTTTCTCTTGGAACCTAATGTGAATCTAGAGGGGCTCCTTCCATAAAGGAGTGAAGGAGTCAGACTGGAACTCTCACTGGACAAATACTCTGGATATCTCAGTCTAACTCAAGTTAGGCTGGGGGGGGGGGCGGGGGGGGGGAAGGGTCTGGGCCCCTAGGAGGCAGGAATGCAAATAGACTTTGCAAACAGACAAAGCTCAGTCCGCTAAGGATGGGAAACATTTGCTTGCACAGCCTGACTCTGAGATTCCCTGGGCCTAGGAGAGAGAACAAACATAGCCCTTCTGGGGCCGGTGGAAATCCTGAGAGGTCAGATTCAGTATGGTAAACAACAGGGTCCTCGCACCTTGTAGAACACTTGGGACTGTACCTAGCAGCTGAAAGACCGAAGTCCACCCGGACCCCATACTAGAGGAGGTTTATGGGGAAGACTGACACCTCCAGGGAGGGAGCGGGGGAGGCGGGGCCCAACGTCCGCCCCCGCAGCGAGAGGGAGACTGCATCCATCCTCGTTTTGCCGGGGATGCTGCGATCCCGAGTGGCGGAGCTGAGCCCCGCGGGAAAAGCAGAAAAGGGCCGTTGCCACTTTAAGTGACTCAGGAAGTGAAAGGAGGACGCCTGACGGTGAGAGGAAAGTGGAACCGGGGCGGTGCGGGCCGGCGGCGGCCGCGGTCTCCCCGGGCAGCGGAGGTCGAGCAGCGGCGCGGCGCAGCGCGGGGGCCGACGGGGCGCCAGCGGCCGCGCCGGAAGTGCCGGCAGCAGAGGAAGCGCTGCGCAGCGCCGCGCGAGCAGGCCGAGCCGGAGGGGAGGCCTTGAGCTCGCGGCCCGGCGAGGGCGGCCGCGGCCCCAAGCCCCGCTCCCGGACGCCGCACGGCCCAGCCGAGTGGCGACTCCCGAGGAGGGGACCCCGGCGCCGGGGGAAGGGAAGAGAGGAGGCCGCGCCGAGGGGAGGCGGCGAGCCCGCGGGCCCGGAGGCCTCGGCCGCGTCACAGCACCCACATGGCCTCCGGAGTGGGCGCGGCCTTCGAGGAGCTGCCTCACGACGGCACGTGTGACGAGTGCGAGCCCGACGAGGCTCCGGGGGCCGAGGAAGTGTGCCGAGAATGCGGCTTCTGCTACTGTCGCCGCCACGCCGAGGCGCACAAGGAGAAGTTCCTCAGTCACCACCTGGCAGAGTACATCCATGGCGCCCAGGCCTGGACCTCGCGAGCCGGCGGGGAGGGGGCCGGGAAGGAAGAGGTCGGGGCCAAGGTGGAGCAGGACGGGGAGGTAGAAAGCGAGGCGGGGGAAGAGAGCGAGTCGGAGGACAGTGAGTCGGAGGAAGAGAGCGAGACGGAGGAAGAGAGCGAGGACGAGAGCGACGAAGAGAGTGACGAGGACAGTGAGGAAGAAATGGAGGATGAGCAAGAGAGCGAGGCGGAGGAAGACAACCAAGAAGGAGAGTCGGAGGCAGAAGGGGAAACCGAGGCAGAAAGCGAATTCGACCCAGAAATAGAAATGGAAGCCGAGAGAGTGGCCAAGAGGAAGTGTCCAGACCATGGGCTGGATTTGAGCACCTATTGCCAGGAAGATAGGCAGCTCATCTGTGTCCTGTGTCCAGTCATTGGGGCTCACCAGGGCCACCAGCTCTCCACTCTAGATGAAGCCTTCGAAGAATTGAGAGTAAGTATTGGGTATTGAAGAGCAGAGGCCTAGGGGTCAGGACAGGTGGGTTTCAATTCAGATGACCTCGCAGTGACTACATTGACTTGTCCCTCAAAAGCTAGACTATTCAACTTCCTGGGAGCTGTTCTTATTCACCCTTTTTGGTTGAACAACTTTGAGAATCACTTGAAGGTATGGCCATTAACCTGAAAAAACATATGTGTACATATGAAATCTAGTGTATAATTTCTGAAAAATTGCAAGCCTCTTGTCTCTGGATCCCAGGCAAAGCATTCCTTAAAAGTTTTTGACCCCCACTTTGGTCAATCTCCAAAGCACCATCATTGTCAAAACTAGTGCCTTGACGGAGAGTTTTTGATAGAGGGATCTCTGCTTCCTTAAAAACAGGAAACCATGATTTTGTCAAATAAATCCAAGCAGTGATTCCTCTGCCAGGAATACTCCCTAGGGTAGTGATTTTCATAATTACTTGATGTGAGCCTTGGATGCTGCTTTTTGGTTCTTCATGTGTGAAACTTGGTAAGAGTTTCACACATGAAGTGTAAGAGTGGTAAGGGAGTGTAAGAGGGCCAAGGCCAAATGGGGGTAGAAATGAAGGTTCTCAGATTTTCTGTCTGGGCTTTTACTTACCTTGGACTTTGCTGGTACTCTAAGAACAGTGTTTTGCAAGTAGTAGAATTTAGTAAATATTTGTTGAAAAAATGAATTTGCAAATGTATTTGTATTTTGGATGCTCACAACAAGCAAGAGAAACTGATGTTAATCAAGTTGAGAAGTTTGTGTGATCAGCATTAAGTGATCAGTACATTAGTAAATGTCATATTATGAAAACTTTTGCTCCCTAAGTAACCTTACAGTTGCTAGCATTGAGATAACAAAAAATTTTTTTGGTACTGGGAATTGCATCCAGGGGAGTTTTACTAAGAGCCTCACCCCCAATATTTTAATGTTTTTATTTTGAGACAGAACTTTGCTGAGGGTCTTGCTAAGTTGCTGAGGCAGGCCTCTAACTTGTGATCCTCCTGCCTCAGTCTCCTGAGTCTGGGATTGCAGGTATATGCCATTGCACCTAGCTGGATAGCATATTTTGATAATGAAAATCCCTTGTATTGACATTTTTCCTTTATTATTGCTATTATTATTGTAAAGTACACATTCAGAAAGTATGTAAAAACATGCACAGTAACAATTATAGAGCAAATAGTGATATAACTTCCACCCAGGTAAGAAGTAGAATATTACTAGCAATATTGACACCACTTATACACTTTTTCAGTTACAACCATGTCTCTCCCCCATAGGTAACCACTATGCTGACTTTGGGGTAGTTTCCTTGCTTATCTTTATACTTGTACCACGTATATATGCATTCCTAAATTTATTTGAACTTGACACTATTGGTATTATGTTTTTATTATACATTCTTTTGGGTTTTGCTTCAGTTTTTAAATGCAAGATTCATCCATTTTCGTTGCTGTATTGAAGTCTATTTTATGAATATGCTACAAGTTACTTATTCTGTCATAAATGAATATTCTTGAAGCTTTGGACTGTTACAGTGTCAGTATAAACATTCTTGTTTATGTGTCCTGGTATATGGTTACTTGTGTTTTTAAATAGATTATGAATCTGGGAGTGAAATTGCTGGGTCACAGATTATGCCTATCTTCAGTAATATCAGATGCTACCAACTGTTTTCTAAAGTGGTCGTACCAGTTTGCACCTTCATGAAGAGTATGAGTTCCGCTTGCTCTATATTTTCACCACTGCTTGCTGTTAGAGTTTTTCATTTTTGTCAATCTTATGGGCATTTAATGAATGGTATCTTATTGTAGTTTTTATTTGCATTTCTCTGGTTACTTATGACTTTGAGTATCTTTTGTATTTCCTCTTTTCGTGGAGTACCCCATCAAATCTTTTGCACATTTTCTAATGGAGTGTGTATCTTTTTTTCCTCATTAATTTATAGGAATTTTCCATGTATTTGTTCTTGACTTCTTTGTTGTTTTATATGGGTTTCAAATATCTTCTAATTTGTATTTTTTCTTTTTTTTTTAAGTTCTTGAATAAAGATTTTAACAAGCTATAATTTATCAATACTTTATGGTTTGTGCTTTTTTGATCTTATTCCACTTAGTAATGATTTTTTTTAGTGAAAGTAGGGGTCCGTTTCATTTTTTGCCCCCCATACAGATAACCAGTTGCTCTAACAGCATTTATTGAAAAAGAACACCTTTTGCCAGGTGTGTGTGGTATGCCTGTAATCCCAGTGACTTCCAAGGCTAAGGCAGGAGATTTGTAGGTTCAAGGCCAGCCAGGGCAACTTAGCTGGACCTTGTTTCAAAAAAAACAAAAAATTTAAAACAAGCCTGGGATTTTAACTCAGAGGTAGAACACCCCTGAATTCGGTCCCCAGCACTGCCAGAAAAAAAAAAAATGCCCTTTATATACTGATCTGCTATTCCATGTCATATATCAAGTGTTTGTGAGCATGTGTCTTGACTCTTCTTTTCCATACTGTTATAGTATATTTTTCTGTGAACAAGATGTTTTCTCAGTTACCATAGCTTTTAATATCTGGTGGAGCAGGTCCTTCTACTTTGTTCTTCTACAAGTGTTTCAGCCAGCCTTATTCTTTACATTTTGTAGAATTATGCTATATTTAAAAAAAATATTTGTTTATTAGTTGTAGTTGGACACAATACCTTTATTTTATTTATTTATTTTTATGTGTTGCCGAGGATCGAACCCAGGACCTTGCACATCCTAGGCGAGCACTCTACTGCTGAGCCACAACACCAGCCCTATAAAAAAATTTTTTTCAAGATTTTTTGGAGGTGTTTTTTGGGTATTGTATTGAATTTATAAACCAATATAAGGAGAATTAATACCATTACAAAAAAAGTCTTGTGGTCCATTTATTTAGGTTTTATTGCTTCAGTTATAGTTTCCCTAAAAGATCCTTTGTGAAGTTTTTTTCATATATTTCATAATTTTATATTGTAAAAATGTTTTTAATTTTTGCTTTTTAATTACATATAGGAATTTGATTAGATTTTCCATATTGGGGTTTTTTTTTTTTTTTTTCTTCGTACCAGGGATTGAATTCCAGGATACTCGACCACTGAGTCACATTCCCAGCCTTATTTTGTATTTTATTTAGAGACAGGATCTCACTAAATTACTTAGGAACTCACTAAATTGCTGAAGCTGGCTTTGAACTTGCCATCCTCCTGTCTCAGCCTTCTGAACTATTGGGATTACAGGTGTGCGCTACTGTGTCTGGCCTCCATATTGGTTTTTATATTAAGCTATCTGCTAAATTCTCTTACATATCCTAATAATTTATTTGAAGTATGATATATTTTTATAGTTTTTAATAGATATGTTTCATCAGATTAAGAAGATTCTCTTTTAGTCCTAGTTTGCTAAGTTTTTCTTAGATATTGAATATCAAGCTATTTTTCTGCATTTGTTGGAATGATCTGTGTTGATGTGATGAATTGATTTACTTTTTGTGATTAAATTAAAAATCAGAAATATGTTCACGTATCTCTGAAGCCTCTGTTCTTTGCTTCTTCCACTAGCTGGTAACCATTTTTATTAATTCTTTGCTTATTTGGGTTTTTTTTTATTTTTTTGCTTGTTTGTTTGTTTTGTAAATAGAGGTGTGTACATATGTATATGGCCTTATTTTCATCTCTTCATGTTTGTATGTTTTATAATTAAATCAACTTTGCATTTCTGGGATATATTTGACCCAACTTGGTTATGATGAAGTATCACTATGTTTTTGTATTTGGTTTATTAATAATTTATACAGTATTTCTTTTTCATTATATTTATCAAATTGCCTGTAATTTTTGTTGAGGGGGGATGCTGGGGATTGACCTCAGAGGGGCGTAGGGCCTAATTATGTCTTAGAGGCTGGCCTGGAACTTGTGATCCTCCTGCTCACTAGGATTACAGATGGGTGCCAAAGCCCCTGGCAGTTGTTCTTTTTTTGTACTGTTCTCATGAGATTTTGTTGTCAAGGATATGCTGGCCTCATAGTCTAAAACAGGGTATAATATTTCTGACATGTCCTGTTCTCTCAATGTTCCAGAAGTATTTTTGTAAGATTGGGTATTTCTTCCTAAAATTTGATAGAACTAACCATGGATGTTATCTGGACCTTCTTTTCTCTCCCTCCCTCCTTCCCTCCCTTCCTTCCTCTACTGGGGATCAAGCCCTGGGCCTAGAGCATGCTAGGCAAGTGCTCTATCACTTAGCTAAATCCCCAGCCCAATCAGGACCATTCTTTTCTCATATGTAGCTATCCTTTGTTTCTTTTGAGAGCAGTAGGCATGTTGATTTGTAATCTGCCTCTGATAATTCCAATGTGTGAAGCATTTATAGAGCTCTATCTGCTGGTGGTTTTGATTTTTTTCTTTGAAATTATTTCTCTCTCTTTCTCTCTCTCTCTGTCTCTCTCTCTCTCTCTCTCTCTCACACACACACACACACCTTTTATGCTTGACTGAGTAACTCAGTTGCCTTTAAAATATCAGGATATGGTGGCATATGTCTATAATTCCAGCAACTCAGGAAACTGAGGTAGGAGGATAGCAAGTTTGAAGACAGCCTCAGTGACTTAGCAAGACTCTCAGCAACATAGTGAAACTGTCTCAAAATAAAAAAGTACTGGGAATGTAGTAAAGTGCCCCTAGGTTCAATCCCCAGTACCAAAACAAAACACCAAAAACTGTGGAGGCTCTTGAAGACTTGAATGAAGCTGTATTTGTCAATAGAAGATTTTGGCTTGCTTTTAAAGCTGAGGCCTGAGAATACAACTTATGTAGAACTCCCTTAAACTAAATTAATTTTTAGAGGTTTCTTGGGCCAGATTTTCATGAGGGCCTTCCCAGGGTTACAGTCTCTTTTTAAAGATTTTTCTTTCATTCTCATTCCTTCTCTATTTTGTACAGCTTCAAAATACTCCCTCCAGTTCTTGGAGG